TTTTATACAAATAAGTGTATCTGCTAGCTTCTTTTCTAGTTTCACAAAAGGCTGACTTGCATTTCGTAATATTTTTCCACTTTCTAATGGTTATGCACAGTCTCAACACATTACACTTAACAATAACGGTTGTTTTTTTTTTTTTACTTATGATGCAAACAGAGAGAGGTTTTGCCACAGACCAATCTGTTAACACGTTTCTCCTACAGTGGCATCCCACAACTTGGGTTCTGTCTACAGGAGTTATTTTCCTTTCAAGAAACCTTCCAGAAGCCCTCTCACCAGGGAAGCCAGGAGTAGTGGTTGGTTTTGGTACACATGTGAAGAGAAGTAGCAGCTATCAGTGGAACTGCGCTCATGAGAACTATGACAAGAAATTTTAAAAATGAGAATGTGCATTTTAAGTTTTGGGAACATCTAGAGACCACAGTCTCTGGCTGGGCTCACACAGTACCCAGTGATGAAGAAACACACAGTAACAAAACAGCCCCTGTCCCAAAGCAGCCTGCAGCCCAGTGATCGAATTCAGGCCCTCCTGAATTAGGCATGTTAAAATCACAACAAAAGATAAAAATTAAGCAGCACTTGACAGCAGAATTGGCTAGAGTCAACTGAAAAACACACGTTTCATCTAAAGCGGTTGAGTATACCTGTTTCTTTTCACCACTAATGTGCATGATAGCTCCACTGCAGGCATCTGCCACGTGGCTCTCTGCTCTACCCTAATCAGCAGTGTCATGAGCAAAGCCATCCCAAGCCCTGCCTTCAAGCAGGACTGCAAAAATAGGTCAGGGAAATAGCATTATAATCTGATTTAACCGCTATTCAAATCATCACAGTCTCTCCATTAATTTGAACGAGAATTGGATTGGGCCCAATTTACTGACAACAAAATGGGAGGTTTATTTTAATACCTTCAACTTTTCATTTAAAATCTTCCATTTGAAGAATAGAAAATAAGATTTCCCACATGCCTTCAGGTGACTACAGTGTGACTTAAATTTTTGTGTAAACTAGTTCAAAATAGACCGTCTGCTCTGCAGCTGCAAACTGGAGCCCCAATGTGACATACAGCCACCTCCTCCTTGCAGTTGATGGGTGTCATAAAGCAGAGGAACAGCTCAAGAGTAAGAGAGTGCATTGCCCATGTGCTTGAGCAGAGGACCTCCAGGATTTGCTTGTCAGAGTGCAGTGGAGAGTCTACAGTTTCAAAACATCTCACCCAGCTGGAAACTTCAAAGGCCAAAGTAAGAAGAGAAAGACTATCTGGAATTAACTTCCCAAACATCACAGCTCATAGCAGAAATTTTATTTATTTGATGAAAGCAAAAATAACTTCACATTCTGTAAAAAAAAAAAAATTAAAAAAAGAAAAAAGATCTGCCAAAGAAGCTTATTTTGGCAAATAATGAATGCCTAAAGAAATATTGTTTGTATTGTGCAATGAACTTGTAATTAATGTTTGTTTGCTCACCATTTAATAGCAGTTCTGCACTAAGTGATGGGATTTTGCTGCCATTTGTGAATGTGCAGATTTTGAAACTTCATTCCCCATATGGAAGAGCTCCCAGGGGGTCATATCATAAACCCATTCAAATGAACAAAACAAATGACAAGTATCTGTACCAATGGGCAAAACGAGAAAGCTGTATGTATTGTTTTACATAAGTATTGTTAAGTGCCTCAGTTTACTCATGTGATATTTTCCTGTTTGGCTGCATAGAGGTAAATCAAAAGAAGCTGTCTAGATGAGGAGAATCAAAGCATCAAAAATATAACACTCCTTTAGATGTGATGAGGGGCCCTTAAATGGAGGAGTCCCCTATTTCTTTCCAGCCAGCCTGGCAATGTTTATGCCTCTCATGCCTACATCTAAATGAGACTGGCCACAAGGAGAAATGTCAGGTAGCAATGGGTGTGCTGTCAAGAACGTAGACACTGACCTGGATTAATCCCATTTATCTACATGCACCTGAAAGAGAAGTGTAATCTGTCTGGCCAAGAGTGAAGTCACTTCCAGAGGGCAACTCGAAGACAAGTAGGCTCCTAACATGGCAGGGATCCCAAAAGGGATCCATCCAGGCCTTCCACTCCTCCAGAGACAAGAAGAGAGGCAGCACATACAGACAAGATTAAGCCAGCTTAGGTGATTGCTACTGTGCCTGTCACTGCACTTGCACAAACTAGACCTAGACTTAGCTGCTTGAGTAAATAGGCAGGCATGCTGGCGGGCTTATTGAAGCCTTTGCTGCCATGGTTTCATTGCTATCAGGGCTCTACACAACTCACTGTTAAAGCTAGACTTCACAGAGATGGAGGTCGGGGAAGGTGCAATACCTTGCAGAACAAGATTCAGTTATAGCTAACGTGCACGGGTACGGACATTGTACTGTTTTCACTCTTTGTGCGAAATACTATGGACTTCTTGGTAGAGGAGTGATGAATATTGTTTTGCTTTGAAAAAGCTGTCCCTTTAATTTACTGCAACATGGGAACCCAAAGTAAAGGTTTTAGCAGATGGCAAACTCAGTTGGACTCTGTCTGTTAGTATGCTCAGGAGACGATGGCACGGCTGCCCCTCAGAAAGTCAGCCCTAGAATGGTAGGATGGTGCCATCAGCTCTGAGCAAGGTACAGGAGCCGTGCCTGTCACCCAGGGGGAACAAAAGGAGGTTAGTAGCCAGCCTGCTCTGTAGCCAAGTCTGATGCATAACAGCTGAGAGGAATGGACTGTGATAGGATTTAATTCTCCACATTTTCCAGCTCCTACTGGAAGATACTATACACCCCATAATTTCCAAAATAATTTTTAATTTGGTACTTGTTTTCTCAGAGCTATGAGGGAGAAGAGAGATGTTCTTTACCATAATACCTTCATGGTATTACATGGCTTGCTTCCTGGCATTTTTATATTTCCCTCTGAAGTTTCCAGTTCTCCTGGACCACAGATTCCTATCGACCCTCAAAATTTGCCAGAGATGATTATGCACTCACCTACAGTTATTACAAAGGAGAGTTTTCACAGTGATACAGTGCTGCAGCTCACTGACAGTGGCCTCCCAGATCACCTGTGTCCAGCTATATCTGGGGAATGACAGCGTTACATCACTCTGACTTATGGCTACATTGAACATATTTTGAAGACATTTGACTATTTAGTTAGAAGTCAAACTTTCCACTTGTAGATGAAAACTTGATCCCTCTTAAGACATCAAGCAGAAAGCTCTGACAGGTGGAGGGAGTTCCTCACTAGGAAACAATATGAAAATTTTAAACTTCTCTGTAAGCTTTGAGTGGGAGAGGAACATACAGACCATGATGAACTGCAAAGGAGAACACAGCCTGTAAATGGGGCAGGCTGTCACTGAACAAGGAGGTATTGGCCTGTGAAAAAGCCAGAAAAAACTCAGAACATAAGACATACCTCTGATAATGTGGTCTTACACACAGCTGCCTACTTCATTTTTAGTTTTGACAGAAATGAGATTGCTATGTGGTTATTTCCCATGCTATCTAGACAACATAGAAAATATAGTGAACTACGGCTTAGGGCTGCTGAGGAGGGGTTGGTGTTTCATTAGTATTAAGTATGATTGCAAAAATAGGTGTGAAATTGAAGGCTGTGCTAGGAAAGGAGTGAAACAAAGTGAAATACAAACAAAAATATTGCCATGAGCTGAACAAGACAGAAAGGATATGTGTTCTTTTCAAAAAGTTGAGGAAATCAGCTTCCTCCACTTTTTCCAATTCTTCAAAATTGAATCTAACACTGAATAAAAATTTCTCTACTTAACAAAAGTATAGAACACTGATGTTTCGCTAAGTGTGCACAGCATTTGCAATGCCATCATCAGTGCTGAAACATAACCTTAACAATAATTTAAGACCCTGTTACAGGTCTTCCAGCTGCTCTTGAACCTAATCTATTTTCAGGAGCAATCTGCTCATCTTTGACACCCCAAAATGGCAGAAATCAATGTGTTATTATGCTGTAAGAACAACTGAAAAGCAAAGTATTCAACTTGATAAGAAAACTATAACCTTCTTTTATGTTCACAACTTTGCCTTCCACAAAATGCAATTTAAAGAGAGAATTTAAGAACTTTATCTTGGAAATACTCCTTCCTCCAGGCAGATTTAGCTCACAGATCTTCTACTAGATTCTGCCACTAAGAAAGTATTAGGAAAAAAGTAAAGGAACAATAGGAAGATCCAAGATTGACTTCAATGCCAGAAAAGTGTTCACATATGAGAAATAGAGCTCTAAGGGTCACACAGGGAGAAATATATTTATATACTTAATAATCATGAATCTGAAAAGCAAACCAGAGAACTGCAGCAAAACGCTTATTGAAAATGACATATAAAAATTCTGAGAAAGAAGGTTGAAATGGGGAATAAAGTGTATGGTTAGGGCAACAGTGATAGATATTCAGAGAAGAAAACACAGTTTGAGAAGATTTTAAAAATCTGTGAGTGTAACTCTTCTTTCACTCCTACCTAGCCAATCTTGCCTTAATCTGGCATCTGGGTTAGTTGGGCCAAAACTCTATACTGGGATAGACAGGGATAAGGCAAGCAAGTTAGTAAAAGAATATGTGAGGCTAAATCTTGAACAGAAAGGTTAATAATACCACCACTTTTTTAAATTACAGAATTGCAGATTTTCACTTCTGTGATTCGTGATTCATCTTATAAAGCATAAATTTACATTTCACCGTATGACCATATGTACTTCGTTCTTCCACAATGAATCTACAAGATTTTTTATAGCTTTTCATTGTGTTAACAGTATGCTCCCAGAAGAAAACTGATTTACCTTTTTTTTTTTTTTTTTCTGTGAATTGGAGAAAATCACAACTCTGCTGTTCAACTCACTGAAGGTGAGTCTTTATTCAGCAAAATGAGAGTGCTGACCTACCTAGGCCTGGGCACCAGACAAGAACAGAGTAGAATACATGCAAAATGACACAAAACCCCCTTCGGAACTGTATTTTGTACCTGAGGTAGCACTGCTGGTCCTTGTCCTGCCAACCTCTGCAAGGAGCTGACCTGAGGAACCTTAATGGGCACTGCAGTGATAGTTCCCAAAGTCTGTTGGAAGAAAAACAGTTGAACACAGCTTAAAACACTTGCACAGCTTCCCCAGACAGAATCTGCCCGACCCAGCGGTTCCCCTTCCAGCTCTTTGTTTGTCTCTTCCCAACTCATGACAGAGGGTATAATACACCAGCCCATTTGAAGCTCGCTCTCTCCTGCCTAAAGAGTCAGAGACTCTTCCTTCTATTTAACCTTCTCTACAAAGCACTTTTAACTAAAGTCTATTGCCTCCTTAGAGCATTTCGTAATTCTGAGTGCAAAGGATACATCCCATTGTTGCGAAGTTTTTTTGGTATACAAAGAAAATACAAGTGTGCTGCCATGGCTGAAGGCTGTCTAGGCACTAGCTTGTTTTCAAGAGATCTGAAGAAAGGTGAAACGCACCACAGTGAAACTTCAAAATGTGCATCGGTAAGATGATGCATTTCACGGTAGTCAGGGTCACAAGAGAAGTTCACTGTGTCTTAGTAAATAGTAAATACTGAATTATTAAAACTGAAAGCTACCTATAAGTCTACTACAGCACACTGAAACATAACATTCAGCTAAGATGACAACCATTTGGGCCAATACAGCAGCTATTACTGTTGACGTTTATTTTCTCTACTTACCCTTCTCTTAGTTGTATAACATTTTTATTCAAAGCTTTTTAAAAAATATTTGAGGTCATTCCTTCTATGAGCAAATATATTGCTGTATTCTACATAAAGTTTACTTTGTAGGTGGAGAAATGTTATGTGTTAACCCAGAGTTATCTTTAACCCTTATGGATACAGTTAGATACCAACAGTAAGCAAAGTATGTTTTTATAACACAAGTTTACTTCCCCTAAAAATCTCTGTGTCTGTTTAGCCCCAATTCTTTTCTGACGTTGCATCTATCTGTAGTGATACAGGTAACTATAGATGTACATTTATGAGTTCTGTTATAGACGGTCTGAATGGTACCTCTTTTTCAAGCCTCACCCCCACAGAGGCTCCCAAAATATTGGATCTGAGATGTTGTAAATAACTTGTACTTTATTTTCTCCATCAAAAACAACAGATAGCTTACAAATTTAAGATTGGGCCATAGGTCTAAAGAATATTGCTAACTTTTCCCCTTGACCCTCTTCCATTCTTTCACTCCTGAATACAGTTCATATTTTGGTTAATTGGCCAATATTCTTAAGACAAGGTTTTATAACTTCTATCTAATGTTTCTTAATCGCTGTTGGGACGACATGGCAATCTAAGCAAACAGATGACTGTCATTATAACAGCAAGAGACACTTAGTCACTGATCACAAAAATTTATCAGGCTGCTAGAAATGGATAATAAGGAAAGAAAAACAGATTAAACTGAATTTCTCTAAATTTAACTCCCCTCAAAAGCATTGGATCACAGCCAGTAAGATAAAGTATGCTAATATTATCCCAATCTGGTAACAAAATTTGTCAATAAAAAGGAAACTATCATGTAATCAGCTCAAGGAAAGTAAAACTGTGTCAGGTCCATGCCAATATGCTCTCCTCAGACCTCAACAACGGAGTGGTAAAACAGTCTATTTCATTCTAACTACAGCATTTGGTAAGAATACCATGCATTTTCATGTAGAATATTTTTAATAAACATGTCCTACAGAGTTTATATTTTTAACTCTGCTACTCCTCTTGGAGACATTTGGGGGTGTGATGTTACATATTCAGCAAAGATTAAAATTTGCATAAGATTTGCCTGAGTTAAACAACAACGAGAGCTGTACAGTTACAAACATGCAAGACAATTTTTCCTGAGTACTCATGGATTATCAGTACCGAGGATTACCCATGGAAAAACATACTCCATTAAAATTCTGTCTCAAGCCAAGGGCAGAGTTCGGGGGGGC